CGGCATCGCTCTCGACATGGTCCTCCGCCATTTTCGGATATCCATGATGATCAAAGCTTAGCCAGCTATAATTATTCAGTGCGCTGCTACCAACACTTAACGAAGTTAGTGGATACTAGCTAGCTTATTATTAGCTGTAGCTGTCTGCAAAATTTGACCCCGCCCTGGGTGGGATCCAATGAGCTTCCTAAACAAGGTAATGATGGCGTTACCTTATGACATTGCATGACTAGGTGCCCAATCAGAATGCATTTTTGGATTTTAACTACTACATATTAAATTATTACACCCCCCCCCTTTCTCCACCCTCCTCAGATCCCAAGCGCACACCTGGCATATCAGCCTGGTCTCATAGGCTAGACATAACATAGCAAATGTAAATCCGGGACAGAAAATTAGTATGATATGTTATGTATGGTATGGTTACATAAGACAGATGGTTATGTCTAGCAACCCAAAGGTTGGGAGTTTGAATCTCATCACAGACAACTTTAACATTTTCACTAATTAGCAACTTTTCAACTACTTACTACTTTTTAGCTACTTTGCAACTACTTAGCATGTTAGCTAACCCTAACCTTAACCCTTTAACCTAACTCCTAAACTTAACCCTAACCCCTAACCCTAACCCCTAGCCTAGCTAACATTAGCCAGCTAGCTAACGTTAGCCTCCTAGCCACCTAGCTAGAATTCGTAACATATCATATGTTTTGCCAATTCGTAACATACTGTAGTTTTTGCAAATTCATTTACATTTACATTTACGTCATTTAGCAGACGCTCTTATCCAGAGCGACTTACAAATTGGTGCATTCACCTTATAAAATTGATGCATTCACATATTGTATGTTTTTATAATTCGTGACATATAATATGATTAGTAATTCCTAACATATCATATGAAATGGGTGATGGACATCCACAAATTAATAAATACCATACGAAACGTAACATATCGTACTAAAAGGGGTATCTCGGATTTCCGTACAGAATAATACGAAATGCTCTGAGACCAGGTTGAGGAGGCATATAGCCTCTGTCCATGTCTGCGCTAAGGGCATTGTAATGCATATACCATATGTTATAATTATGGGGAAACAAAACCTGGGGGGCACAAATTCTATCTGGGGTGTCTATGCCCGGCTTTGCCACCCAGTAGAGCCGGCCCTGCGTTTAGGTCACAATGGACTGTTTGTCCCAGTGGTGCTTTGAATGGCACTGCACTCACTGTATGACTCAATTAATTTGACTGTTATAAAAGCCGATTGTCTAGCAAACTGGTGCCTGTCTGAGTGTTATCCAACTATTGAGAGCTCTTCAAGAGGTAAAAGGATCGAAGATGAGACTAGAGCAGCGATTCAATTCATTTTGAACCGCTGCATGCCTTCGGTATAGAAAATAAATTAGGCAGTGTCGAAAGATCCTCCCCCTCACTTTGTCGTACTGATTGCTTTAGTAGTAGAGGCCCCTCTTAATTGAATTGAATCCGATTTAAATTGGATTCTAATAGGGGTACATGGGTTCAGACTGTACTAATTAGGAGGAAAGTCTGAGAGGGATGATGTGGGTATTTAACGCCACTACCAGACCACCTGCGGCTGACATGCGCAGTAAGCCACCTCGGGCCCATGGCCAGATGTTTGAGGTGTTTGAGATATGGAGTCGAATTTATATGAGGAACCAGCTAAAGCTTAACCCCAACTCAACCGTAGATGTAGGCCTACCGTTGGTTGTGGAATTATATGCATTCTACATTTGAAATATAGTCTATTTAATATAGCCAGACAATGTGTCCAGTGTAATAATCCAGAAGCGGCAGTGGCGCATGATTTTCAATACATGAACACACCTCACAATCGTCTATAAAGCTGAGGTCCACTTTTTAATAGATCAATGAAAGTATATCAAGTCGCCAGGAGCCACGGCAGTGTGTATATATTAATGTCTGCCAGGCTATTAAATGACCATTGCTGGTGTAAACTGCCCCCAAAGCTATTTCTAAAACTGACAGGAGTTAGCCTATTTGTGTGTAAAATAAATAAATTAAAATTAATTAACAAAATGATGTTGGGCTTCTACATCAGGTGGAATATTACATTATTTTGATTTTAATAGGATATAGCTACGTTAAATGTTTGGGGAAAGTGAGACTGTCGAAAGGAAATGCAGAGTAACTTGTCAAGGGATCGAAATTTGTCTTAATTCTTCGTGCCCACGCTTTCCACATCTGCAATGTGCACACGCTCTATACTATTTCAGCAATTTGGGTCTGACAGTAGAGGGCATGCTAGTTTGTTTTGACAGATGTGGGGAGGGGGCAAGTCTCGACCATCTTGTTGACGACCTGGTTCGTTTCGCTCGCTCACGCGGAGTGAACATGCTTCATATGACAACATATTGGCCTAAAGGGGGGGATCCTGTGTGCTGCGAGGAATATGATGTGAATCTGGAGCGGCAGCCAAGTACCCCTGTAATCTTAATATACTGTATGATCAACCCAGCTGTCACTCTCCGGGCAATAAGTGAGAGGAGATCGCGAGCAGCCAATGACGTCTGAATTGTCTTTCAGCATTGGGCTCGTTGACAGCGACAGAGCGCTGGACACAGCTTACTTTGCTTTGAGAGCTGCTGAACGAGTTCAAATAGAGGAGAGGAGAACGAGGGGGAAAGGCTTTGAATAATATCCTATAACGCATTCTTAGTTAGCATTCAGCTTTTATTTATTTCGTTTTGTGTTGTTTTGCTCGTTCTATTGTCTCTGCACTCTTAGAAAAAAAGGTTCCTTATAGAACCAAAAAGGGTTCAGTCGCTTGCTAAATATATATGGAACCCCTAAAAGTTATATATAGAACCCTTTGATAGGGTTCTTTGGTCAGAACCCTAGAGGTTCTTCTTCACTGAACCAAAATGGTTCCATATAGAACCCTGCATGGTGCCATTTATGAATTATGGCTATTAAATAGTAATATTTATAGCTAAGAATATAATTCAATGAACAATTAAATAATGGACAAAAGAATACCAGCATAGTTTTTCAAATGTATTGTCATTATATGCTAACATAGTTTGGAAATATGCACTGGTGGCCAGGCATCTCTTTATTTGAATGATGGCCCACGTCAACTCTGGCTGACTTGTTTACAATACAACTTTGTCCATTAGTTACAGCGAACAAAAAAAAATTGTATTCTGCTTCCTTCTATGCATTGGGACAGGTAGCGTTCTCCTGGCATCCGCCAAACCCAGATTTGTCCGTCGGACTGCCAGATGGTGAAGCGTGATTCATCACTCCAGAGAACGCGTTTTCACCGCTCCAGAGTCCAATGGTGGCAAGCTTTACACCACTCCAGCCAACGCTTGACATTGCACATGGTGATCTTAGGCTTGTGTGTGGATGCTCGGCCATGGAAACACATTTCATGAAGCTCCCAACTAACAGTTCTTGTGCTAACATTGCTTCCAGAGAAAGTTTGGAACTCGGTAGTGAGTGTTGCAACCGAGGACAGATGATTTTTATGCGTTACGCGCTTCAGCACTCGACGGTCCCGTTCTGTGAGCTTGTGTTGCCTACCACTTCGTGGCGGAGCCGTTGTTGCTCCTAGATCTTTCCACTTCACAATAACAGCACTTACAGTTGACAGGGGCAGCTCTAGCAGGGCAGAAATTTGACAAACTGACTTGTTGGAAAGGTGGCATCCTATGACGGTGCCACGTTGAAAGTCACTGAGCTGTTCAGTAAGGCCATTCTGCTGCCAATGTTTGTCTATGGAGATTGCATGGCTGTGTGCTCGATTTTATACACCTGTCAGCAACGGGTGTGGTTGAAATAGCCAAATCCAATCATTTGAAGAGGTGTCCACATACTTTTGTATATATTGAGTATATAGCACCTTTTTAGTAAACTAAAGGGTTCTTTAATCTCGTCCAGAGAACCAAAACGTTATAGGTAGCCTATGTAGAACCAAAAATAACATTTTTTTTCTAGGAGTGTGTGTTGTTAACTCCATCTTTTAATGCTCAGCCCTGACTCGATTTGCATTGCCCTGTTGAATACATCGATGCATTTCAAGGACAGATCCCCTCATTACTAGAATGATGTAGCCTAAATGTTTCCAAAGCTGCTGTGCTTATACTTACAATTAAATGATTCATTTTATGATGAGAATTGCTGCACAAATACAATGAAACATATATATTTATATATTTTAGTTAAGGGGTTTATTAACCCTATTTCCATAGCCTTTTTATTCGATTCAATATCCGTTACTCGTTTTATTTCTATTTCTTCGAGCTTTGGCGTAATTGCTGGTTTGGATCAATGAAAAGAGAGAAGTAATCGCCTGGGCGTACTAAACAGATCGGCAATGTATCACAGCACACAATGAAAAGGGCGGTGGCACTCGCTCGCTCTCTCTCCCTCGGATATAAAAAAAAACTACGAGTCCGCTCAAATGCATTCTCTTAGAAATATCAAAAACGATCGACGGTTGAAAATAATGATGCATTGATTGAGATAAAATGAGTATTCGTATTCCCGATGTGTGAATGTGATTTTAATTTTAATTTGACGCTGTTTTCATTTGGAGGTTCTGAAATGCAGCCAGCATCGTTTGAGAGCACGGCTCCCCCCCTCCCCCGCGGCCCACAGACACCATCGCACAGAGAGGGAGAGAGGGAGGGGGAAGGAGAGAGAGGAGAGAGAGAGAGGGAGAAAGCGATAGGCAGCACCCGTGAGAGGGAAACAAGAGTCAGCCGCGCGGAGGAGAGAGAAGATAAAAAAAAAAGCAGTAACCAAACAGACAAAGGAAACATGGATTTAACGGAAAAACGTCCTTTTAAACAAGCACCTGTACAGGAGAGGATGCTTTGGTCGTCCTGCACATAGTAGGGGGTAACGCACGGACTCTTCCCCAGTTTTTAATGTGGCGGGAGGGGACGCACGGCAAGCTAAAAAGGCGGAAAGCTTTCTCTAATCCGTCTGCGGATCCTGCCTGCTTGCGATGGCTGTGGCGGCGCGATGCTGTTACAGCATAACGCAGAATGTGCCTTTTACTTTTTATTTGGTAATTTTTCTACTCAGTGGCCTTACAAATGCACAAATACGATACACCATTCCGGAGGAGCTGGAGAACGGGGCTGTGGTCGGCGACATTGTTCGAGATTTGGGGCTGGACCTGCGAAAACTCTCCTCCCGACGCATCCGAATCACCTCGGACAGCGCAAGGAGATATTTCAACATAAATCATAAAAACGGCAAGCTGTCGGTGAGTGACCGCATCGACCGGGAGACGCTGTGTGAATTCAGCGGCACCTGTTTCCTCAACCTAGAGGTGGTGGTTGAGAACCCGCTCGAGGTGCACAACGTGGAGGTGGAGATTCTGGATGCGAATGACAACTCGCCACAGTTCCCCCGGGACGAGTACCAGTTGGAGATCTCGGAGTCCGCTGTAACGGGGTCCCGGTTCCCCATCGAAGGCGCGCAGGATCCAGATGACGGCTCAAATTCGGTTCGGCTCTACCGGCTCAGCAACAACGACCACCTCGCGCTGGACTCCAACAAGCCCGTGGCAAACAGCAAGCACATCGAGCTCGTGCTCAAAAAACCATTTGACCGCGAGCATACACCGTCTCATCAGTTCATACTGACAGCTGTGGACGGAGGCACCCCGGCGCGCACGGGCACAGCCAAAATCAACGTGCATGTCCTGGATTCCAACGACAATGTGCCCGCGTTCGACAACTCCGTGTACAAAGTGAAACTGTTAGAGAACTCGCCCAAGGGCGCTCTGGTGATAAAGTTAAACGCCACAGACCCGGATGAAGGCACAAACGGGGAGGTGTTTTACTCTTTCAGCAGTTACACCCCAGAGAGGGTGAGACAAATGTTCTCCATGGATACAGATACAGGAGAGATCAGAGTGAAGAACAACATAGACTATGAGGAGACTAACTCCTATGAGATGTACATACAAGCTATGGACAGGGGCACTTCTGCAGTGGCCGTCCACTGTAAAGTGGTGGTAGAGGTTTTGGATGTGAACGACAATATCCCAGAGATCGTGCTGTCATCTCTGTCCAGCCCAGTCCGTGAGGACGCCCGGGCGGACACAGTGGTGGCCTTGATCAGCGTTAACGACCGGGACTCCGGCCAGAACAAACAGGTGACCCTGGAGATCCAACCTGGCCTCCCTTTTAAGATCAAGTCCTTCCGGAACCACTACACCTTAGTCACCTCTGCCTTCCTGGACCGGGAAACCATCTCCACCTACAACGTCACAGTAACCGCCATTGACGGAGGGACCCCGGCCCTCTCCTCACACATGACCATTAAAGTTGACGTGGCGGATGTCAATGACAACCCTCCTCGCTTCGAACAGACGTCCTACACGGTGTACATGACGGAGAACAACGCGCCCAGCGCCTCAATGTGCGTGGTGAAGGCTCTGGACGCAGACGCCGGGGAGAACGCTCGCATCACCTACACCGTCCTCAATGACAACAACCACGGCATCCCCGTGGCGAGCTACGTGAGCATCAAACCCGACACGGGTGAGGCCTATGCCCTGAGAGCCTTCGACTTTGAGAAGCTCAGAGAGTTCCACTTCCAGGTGAAAGCCCAGGATGGTGGCGTGCCGCCCCTCAGTCGCGTGGCAACCGTCTATGTTTACATCATGGACCAGAACGACCACTCCCCAAGGATAGTCCATCCTCCAGCCAATGGGACGCGGACCACCGAGACGCTGATGAAGAACGCAGAGGCGGGGGCTCTGGTGACCAAGGTGGTGGCGTGGGACGGGGACGCGGGTCAGAACGCCTGGCTGGTATACGCCCTGGAGCAGACCACCTCCGAGCTGGACCTGTTTAAAGTCCATGAGCACACAGGGGAGATCCGCACCATGCGGCGCGTCAGCGAGGACAACTCCACCTCCTTCCTGCTCACCGTGCTCGTCCGCGACCATGGCCTCCCGCCGCTCTCCTCCACCGCCACCATCAATGTGCACGTCATGGAGCTGCCGCCAAAGCTGACCCCCGACCCCAAACGTATCATCAGGCCTCACAGCCCACTACTGTTCTCCAACGTGACCCTCTACCTGATTGTTGCCCTGAGCGCCACCACCTTTGTGTTCCTGGTCACCATTGTGGTGCTGGCCATCGTCCGCTGCCACGCCTACTGCACCCAGCCTGGCTCCTGCTCCCCCTGCTGTGTATCCCAGAAGAGAATCCCTGAGGGGGGCACCTCGGCCGGCGGGGGTGGAGGATCATTGAGTCGAGGTGGAGGGGGAGGTGGAGGAGGAGGTCAGGGTCAACCCAACAATAATGTTGCTCTGCGGAGAGACCTGAAGGTGGAGCCTCACTACATCGAGGTGCGGGGGAACGGCTCCATGACCAAAACGTACTGCTATAAGACATGTATGACGGCCACATCGGGGAGCGACACCTTCATGTTCTATAACACGGGCCGGCCCCACAGCGGCACCTGGGGCTCCGGGGGATACGTTACCAGTCAGAGTGGACAGAGCCAGATGTTTGTGCGCAGGCTCAGCATGCCAGACGCAACCGCCATACAGGTGTGTGTGTGTCTCTGTGTGTGTGTCCCGTCATCCCATCACAACTAACTGGAAAGCTGTTTCATGCATTGTTTTTTTTGGGAGATGTAGTATTTGGGTTTTGCCCCTAGGCAGTGTTTTGTGGAACTGTGTTTGCCATTTACAATTCTCATGCAGGGAGGGGTGTAGAGGAGCTTTCATATTTTTTGTTGGGTTTATGCAATATTAAACTCCGCTCTTTTTTAATCTGATTTAGGATTTTTTTTGTTGCAGATATGGTAGATTTTGACATCGCATAAATCATTTATACACTCTTGTGTCAGCGGCCTTGAAAATCGAAAACCTGAAAATCGCAGTGCCCCTCCCAGTTCTTCTTTTTATCCTTTGTTTATTTTTGTCAGATGGTTACCTGGGTTACCTGGGTTACCTGGGTAATCTGCACGGATTGCATTGTGTTGCAGTAGTAACAGTGTTTTGCGTGTGCAATGCTCTGTTGTGAGCTCTGTCTGTACATTACATACATACATGCAGTATCAGAAAATATGTTCTCTAATTTCTCGAGCACTTTGTGTATGTGTTTAGATTTTAGCTGTGCGTGGTGCAGGCAAACTCAAAGCTTCTTTGTGGGAGCTGTGTGTTTGTGTGCATGTTTGTGCTGGTGGGTGGATATGCTCTTATCTCTGTATTGTGTGTGTGTGTGTGTGTGTGTGTGTGTGTGTGTGATGCTCGGAGCCTCTTTAGAGAGCTGGCGTTTGTTTCTGATGATTCAGGGTATCAGATGTTCATGCGCCTCGCTCCTCCGCGGTCGTTTAGAGAGCTGTTATAAAAATACTCATATTCAGGGAAAACATCTCTCTCGCTCTCCATCTCCCACTCCCTTCTTCTCTCTGTTGTGTACTGTAATGCTACAACCTTTTGTCAGTAGAACTAGACTCAAGAGACAACTCAAAAATATCTGGGTTATTCGTGATTATATTGTTTTAGAAATTATATGGGGCCCATGGTTTAGAAACGTTAGAAACGGACAGTTTCTAAAGGGGTAGTGGGATTGCTTTGATTTCTTTATTCTAGAACATGTCTATACAGTTGACCGGACTTTTGGAAACTTGATTGGAATGTTACGGTTAGTGTGTAAAGGGTTAGTGTGATTGACTGGGTGAGGTCGTACTAGACCAATCTGATTGGTCCTCTAGTTCTGGTCCAATGGGCACAGACTAGTCTGGTGTGGTCTCTCTGGACAGAGATAGTCTGGGCATTAGTGTTGCTCTCTCCAGCATAAATAGTAATGGGTCTTACTCCATTAAAATCCCTGTGGAGCAGTCACGCTCAGGGCAATTGCCCTGCGTTTGGTTTGGTGGGCTAGCAATGGAATTTGTGGGAGACAGACAGACTCTGAGCTGGATTAAAGTCAGATCTTCAGTTCAGTGAGTTTTTTCATTCATTTGGCATCATTTGAGAAGCAGGGAAAAACAGATACAAACTGTTAGTAGCTATGTGTCCGGTGGCTTTACATCATGAATGGAGTGGTTCATTCTTACTGTCAGATGTAAAGTGGAAACTGGTGACTGTTGCCCTAGGAAACTGTTCTGACTCCAGGGTTGTCATATCTTAAGCGCTTTAATACACATTTGTAACTTCATGTACGAATTGGAATTCGTAACATATCATACGAATCGCAATAATTTAATTATTATTATTTCGCAAAACAAATTCAGGACGTAACATATACAAAATGGATGCCATTTTACAAAATTGTGAAACACTTTCGGGGACCGGTTTTTGCCCATGAGCGCTACTTTCAAAACTACTGGCTGAAATTATACAAAATATTTATAACGCATACAGAAATAGCTGGATTGTGTGCTGCCCATTATTGTTGGCCAAAATAAAAATGATTGAAGAGGAAATTAGGAGGGGGTAGGGATAGGGGATGAAAAGGGAGAAGTAAAGCAATGTTCAGGTAATTGCATCTCTATCCCCCGGCATTTTTCCTCATTAAATGCCAGTCATGTTTGTTCTAGCTGTGTAATTAACTGGCAGCGACACATTTCTCGGTTCCGTGAGGACGGGGAAAGCAAGGTGATTGGACAAGGCGTCGATGGTGGAGGTGCGAGCGCTGTATCCATGCGGGGGGTGTCCACTCAGAGGCAGAGAGAGAAATAAAAAACCCAGGGCCTCGTTAAGTCCCTCATTTGTGTCCACACAGCTAGGTAGGGAGGAAGGGAGTACAGATACCAAATTCAAATTCACAATATCAGCTCTCCATTATCGCGCCCACGACCTGTGTGTATTTCCTTTCACTGGGCGGTGCTGATATACCCAGAGCCTGTATGTGTGAGTGTGTCTTCCAGTGGGAGTGTGTCAAACTGCAGATGTGTTTAGAGTCCAGATGCTCCTCTCTAACCTGCAGTGTTAGTGGGAGTCTGTTCAAATTTACACATGCACATGTAAGGACGGCCAGACCACTCCCCCAACAAGTTACTCCAGGGCAAATGCTTAATGATGCCGTTTTTATTTCTAAGGAGTCTACCCTCTTTTGTATGAAGTCTGTCTCTCTTATTTATGAGTGTTAGAGTGGAGTGTTAAGTCTGTCTCTTACTGTAAGGCTTTGGAGTGTTAAAATGTGTGGGCTGTTCAGGTGTGAAGCCTATTTCCATCCTTGGTTGTGCTAACAAAGTCTATTTTATCTTTGGATTTGCAAGACCGGTATAGAGTTTATCACTGCTCCATAAGATGCACGTCTTTGTGGATTTTACGCAACATTAATACAAATATGGTTTCTCTGAAACTCTGAGGTATATACTGTGTTCTTGTTGGAGTGCTGATGGGTGTGACCGTATGCTGCTGTAGATTGTTGAGCGGTCTGTTTCCCTGTGGATGTAGATTATGTGATGGGATGTCTGAATGACTCCTGGAGGAATACCAGGCCTTTCTCATTAGGGCCACATATTGGATTTCAGGGTGATGAATGTGCTGCTTGGAGAGACTACGGTTGATTTTCCATCTCCAGGAAGTTAACATTTGTATTGCACAGGAAATGGGTCAACACTGTGAAGAAGGTAAAGCTTGGCTCTGTTGTGATAGGGATGTCACATTTATTCTCTCTCCAGGTGCAGGCCTGAGGGGGTTAAACTGATTTCACCTCCCCCTCACCTCTCCTCCTCCACCTGTGACCTTAAACAGAGGGAGTTGAGGAGAGATGGGGTGGGGGATCCATGTGGTTACCATGGTGAGGTCTGTCAGACCAGCTCAGACTGATACTGTGACTGTGACACTCAAGGTTTTGATCAGAGGGGAAAGGGAAAATGAAAGGAAAGAGAGGGAGCAACAGCTGGGTATAAAATGGAGAATATAGAGATAAGAGAATACTGAGATGAATGAGGCCGGTAGATTGGGGCTAGCATTTTCCCAGCTCCTTCAACCATGCCTAATACATGCTAAAATAAATAAAATATTAAATGAGTAAGAAGGACATTCAGAGTGAAAGAGTGATAGAAAGAGAGAGGAAGAGGAAAGGTGGAGAGGTGGACAGTTGCAGCCCTGATGGAGCCCTTCATCACAAACAGGAATGTGAGAATTCCGTTGGGTCTCCATGGTAACGGAGCTTACCACCTGAAGCTGAGTGGTTTGACCCAGGAAGGGGGTGACCTGAGGGACTGTGGCAGAGAGGCAGGGTCAGGGGACCGGTCTGGTCTGGGCACTCTGTGAACAGGCTTATCTCTCAAAGTCATCACTCTCAAATAGGACAGGGAGGAGGGAAGAGGAATGGAGGAAAGGAGGAGGGAAGAGGAGGGGAGCAGGGAGGTCCAGCGCAACTCATCACTAATTTCTCTCCACAGGCAGATGCAAGCTGTTGCCTTCATGATGAGTGTGTGTGTGTGCACATACAGTGGCTTGCGAAAGTATTCACCCCCCTTGGCATTTTTCCTATTTTGTTGCCTTACAACCTGGAATTAAAATTGATTTTTTGGGGGTTTGTATAATTTGATTTACACAACATGCCTACCACTTTGAAGATGCAAATATTTTTTATTGTGAAACAAACAAGAAATAAGACAAAAAAAAACTGAACTTGAGCGTGCATAACTATTCACCCCCCCCCCCCCCCAAAGTCAATACTTTGTAGAGCCACCTTTTGCAGCAATTACAGCTGCAAGTCTCTTGGGGTATGTCTCTATAAGCTTGGCACATCTCGCCACTGGGATTTTTGCCCATTCTTCAAGGCAAAACTGCTCCAGCTCCTTCAAGTTGGATGGGTTCCGCTGGTGTACAGCAATCTTTAAGTCATACCACAGATTCTCAATTAGATTGAGGTCTGGGCTTTGACTAGGCCATTCCAAGACATTTAAATGTTTCCCCTTAAACCACTCGAGTGTTGCTTTAGCAGTATGCTTAGGGTCATTGTCCTGCTGGAAGGTGAACCTCCGTCCCAGTCTCAAATCTCTGGAAGACTAAAACAAGTTTCCCTCAAGAATTTCCCTGTATTTAGCTCCATCCATCATTCCTTCAATTCTGACCAGTTTCCCAGTCCCTGCCGATGAAAAACATGCTGTGGGGATTTTAGTCTCATCTGACCAGAGTACCTTCTTCCATATGTTTGGTGAGTCTCCCACATGCCTTTTGGTGAACACCAAACGTGTTTGCTTATTTTTTCTTTAAGAAATGGCTTTTTTCTGGCCACTCTTCCATAAAGCCCAGCTTTGTGGGGTGTACGGCTTAAAGTGGTCCTATGGACAGATACTCCAATTTCCGCTGTGGAGCTTTGCAGCTCCTTCAGGGTTATCTTTGGTCTCTTTGTTGCCTCTCTGATTAATGCCCTCCTTGCCTGGTCCGTGAGTTTTGGTGGGTGGCCCTCTCTTGGCAGGTTTGTTGTGGTGCCATATTCTTTCCATTGTTTTTATTATGGATTTAATGGTGCTCCGTGGGATGTTCAAAATTTCTGATATTTTTTTATAACCCAACCCTGATCTGTACGTCTCCACAACTTTGTCCCTGACCTGTTTGGAGAGCTCCTTGGTCTT